GAGCACACAGATGACATGGTACTGCTGAGTAAAGATTCAGGTGAATAACAAACCACTCTTTATGGTCTGAATGTGTGTGCGTTTTGGACTTTTAAAGTGTATCATGCTGTTGCAGGACCGGCTTGGCTCAGCTCGTCGTCTCACTTTTACTGGGGAGTAATGATGATAGTAAAAGAAATGTCCACTTGACGAACGAATATCAGATGAAGCGTTTGCACACATACAGACCGCCGTGTTGGTTCTCCTGTATAGTGCAGACAGTCGCGGGTTGGTGTGATATTCAACCGGATGCCGCATTGTCCGAGTCTGGTCCGAGTCGATCGGATAAACAGTGCCCGAGCAAGAATCCGAGGGGTTTTAGACAATCGCAGTGATGAACTTTAGCGGGTACTCTGCCTCTTTAGTCTAAGAGATTGACGTATGTGTCACACATGCCACGAGATAGGCTGCCTCGAAGTTCAATTATTACCGAGGCGGTTAGTGCGTGGAACAAAGTTAAGGATGACCAAACAGAGACCTGGCATGTAAACGTGAAAACCCGGATCACTGCACTCGGTCAAATATTTTGTGACTTCGCCTTTGGGTACCTCAGGATCAGTCTTACCATCAGTTAGGTATGACAGTATCGTAAAAGTTAGTGGTGTGCGTATACTCACTTCTACGTCAACTCACGATTCAGATCTGGTTTATTTACTTTGTCTTTATTTCGACAGTGTTCTTTGTTTACCCCGCGTTATTGGTTTATCAGAGAAAAAGCTAAAACCCGTCGGACAACTGAAAGGCTAATGCTTATGAAACTGAAACCGATTACCACGAAGTGTTTTGTATTCGGCCCATTTTGTCAACAAGTCAAGTAATGTGTATGTGTCATGCCTTATATTCCTTACCACAGCACGTTAGTATATTCGTATTCCACTGTCGTACGAACCTTTTTATTCGGCTATGGAAACAGGCAATTTTGTGCCGCTCACAGGATGTTGCGAGTGACATAGCACCCCCTCAGTAGAATTGAATGCGGAGGTCGTGAAGCATGAAGCACATCTTGAAGCCCAATGCCCGAGGTTTTGAACTTCTCTACTTCCATTTTCAGCACTTAGTTTTAGTCTACTCCGTATAATACTGTAACCCAGCTCATTTGGACTTGCCTTCTGTTAACGGAGTTTTATTTCATAGCCATCAAAGTAGAATCCTGCAGTACAACAAGTTGGACGTAGTGAATAGTTCTCTCTAATTCGCTGTATTGTTGACTTTCATGGACATTTGTCGAATCAAACGGATGTCCTGTTTATTTCTACGTGTTGAATTGAGTCATTTGACTCACAATTTTTAGGCTATCAAGGATCTATTTGTTGAACTGATTGCACAAAAATAGTCGATAGTTTTTGGCAGATAAACATTTCAGACAAATGAAGGAAACTCTTATGAAACAGTTGTTGCGGTGTTCCTCTGTATTCATTCGCCTAGTTTCCACAGGCACTGTCACTGAGGCTAACGGGTCCGATAAACAGTCAAGTAAGCCACACGTGGCCAACCGGTTAAATTGAATCTTTTGTTCTAGCATACTCACCACTGTTTGTATTCCCTCACATCCACTTCTGTGTTTCCGCCACACGTTTGTTTATTGGTATATTTGCACTTTGGTGCTCGCGTTATTGGTGTCTAACTGCCCCTTAAATGCGTACCACAAATTGGTTTTGGATCATCGTCTTCTGCTCCTTCGTTCCATTGTCATTACGTAATCACACTTCACCGTTATGAAAAATCCTAAAGAACCATATGTTTGTTTGTGTGTGTTTGTTGGTCGATGGTATTCTTTCTGATCAGCGAGGGGTTTCTGTCCTAACTACCATGGTTTACACCGGGTGCACGCGGGCTTTGAATTTCGAACCTGTGGTTTCAGTTTATCGGTACTTTTCCAACGATTCAAACCGACCGAAATATGTGCCACATGTTCGTTGAAGACACGCACACACTGTTTTGATTAGGGTTCTCATAAAGGGGTTCGATGTTTGTGGTGAATGCCCAATTTTTGGCCCCTAATTTTGTTTTCGACAGTGCTCTGCTTTTTGTTGAACTCTATTCACACACAATCGCACATTCAAACAACTGGAATCCTTTTTTCCCGATATAAACTTGACGGGATTTACACCACAGCAGATTTTGTCACATCTCCACTGGTACGATGCGACAAAGGAAAAACAGCATCTGGGTTGACAGTTCATTGTTCACACACACAAGGACTGGGTGGCTGCTTTTTAGCATTGCAAATAAATTTAGGGTGTGACTGACAGTTTTTTTCACACAGACCCGTTTCTGTGTGTATTCATAGACCTATTTCGTTATTCGTCATCAAAAGGTATCGAGTGATTTGTATTTCCATAACTTGCGTAAGTTAAGCTGCTTACATTTCAGTGCAAAATATACTCTGGTCGTCACACCGAAGAAAATATACAGTTCTGCATGACATGCAACGTGAAGAATTTTGCTGAAGTTTGTTTTATGCACACAAATTCTGACGTAATTCACTTATTGGTTAGGATTCAGACCACGTGGGATACAGGGTCTTCTCATACATACAAGAAAGTAGGTGCCGAAATCAGAAGCGTGCGGACGGATAGGAATGACAAGAGAATAGATAAGGGTGGGTCGTCCAGAATCTTTTTGGAAAATACAAGAGTTGATGTAACCATTAGTGAGTTCTGTGATTAACCAATCGGCTGAGATCAACGATACACGATAGATTACCATTAAGCCAACACGGATAGTTTTGAAGTCGGTAAACAGTAGAAAACCCGTTAGTGAACGATAGAGGACTGATTGTTTGTTTCGGAACTGCTTGAGCTTCCGTAGTTGAAGAATAGGCGCCAGCTCCATACAGTCGTGTTTGTATGTAGACCACCGGAGACTACTGTCGTTGGTAACATCCAGCTACCTGACAACGGTTAATTTAGATAGAGGCTTACAGTTAAGCATAACAGAGTCTATTGGAAATGCAGAGTGGGAAAGACTGAACACGCTTTCTAGGCTTTTGGGAATGTGGAAACTAAGACCAGATTGGCGGGAAAACTGTTTGATTGGGGATAAATTTCCAGTGAAAGAATCGAATTCCGAAAATGAAATTGTCTGACATGGAACAACATGGCTAGCATACTCTCGGATACGTGCAGTGAGTCTGAACAAAAGATCATTATTGGAAGTAGAAAATAGATTCGGAGATAGAACTTCACTTATTTTTATCACACATTCGTGTGATAAACAACAGAACCCCATAGTCACGAAGACCTGCTATTCCGTCTTGGAAACCGGTAAACCCAAGCCTCGAGACTTGGAGTGGTGAACCATATAAGGTCCCGTCAATTTATGAAGCATCGGAATTATTAACTAGAGGTTTTGATGTACTCCTGCCCAATTAGGTGCATTGGAACCTTTCTGTGAACCAAAGTTCAAAAGAGCAGCCGTCTGAAGCTACCAGGAGACTCAAGTTTGAGACGGAGAAACGGAATCGAAG